CTTTACTAAAGTTGCTCTTCACGACTTCAGCATGGGCGAGCACAATGCCCCTCACAAGCACTTCTCGGAGCGCCGCACAAGCTTCTTGCGCGCTCTTGACAGAGACCACCACTGCTTGCCGTCTAGGAGGTGGCAACCTCCAAGAGTAACAAGCACCACCGGCTCGCAACTCGATCACCTAGTGCCACTCGATGCAACCTCACGATGCAATCGCACTAGAATCGCTCACTCACACGATCGAATGATCACTATCAAGTATATGTGTGATGGAGGGCTCCCAAGCACTCACAAGCATGGACACTAAGTCCCTTGAGGTGCTCAGCACCAGCCATGGCCGAGGGCCACTTCTATTTATAGCCCCAAGGGCTAAACTAGCCGTTACCCCTTCACTGGGCAACGGTCGGGCCGACCGGACGCTCTGGTCGTGTTGACCGGACGCTGGACCTCAGCGTTCGGTCGCCCGCAGACGGCCACGTGTCTTGATTCCAACGGTCACTTGACCTAACCGGACGCAGCAGCTTTCAACTGACCGGACGCTGAACCCCCAGCGTCCAGTCGTTTCCAGTAAGGTACCGACCTCGACCGGACGCGTCCGGTCACACTTGATCGGACGCAGCCAGCGTCCGGTCACACTCCAGCTTCTGCATTATCGTACGTCAGCCTGACCGGACGCAGCCTGCCAGCGTCCGGTGCATTTAGATCCAGCGTCCGGTCAGTTGACCGACGCCAGCATCTTCACGACTAACTCGTTTTCACTTCTAACTTCATCACCCTTGCTCCAATGTGCTAACCACAAGAACTTGCATCCGGCGCAATAGAAAATAGGCATTCTATTTTCCCGAAAGCGTCGGCGCTTGTTAGTCGCGAAGACGGCGGGAGGGAGAGAGGGACCCAAACCTATCTCACCCCTGCAAACACCACCTCCTTTGTAAATGTGCCAACACCACCAAGTGTACACCACCATGTGTATGTGTGTTAGCATTTTCACAATCATTTCCCAAAGGATGTTAGCCACTCAACTTGCCACGCCACTCGATCCTAGCGACGATGCAAAGTTAGATCACTCGAGTGGCACTAGATGACCGATATGCAAACAAGTTTGCTCCTCTTGATAGTACGGCCATCTATCCTAAACCCGGTCATCAACTTCTCTACACACCTATGACCGGTGAAATAAAATGCCCTAGGTTATACCTTTGCCTTGCGCATTCCATTCCATCTCCTCCAATGTCGATGCAACACATGCACCAACACTATCAACAATGATATGATCCACTGTATATCATCACGTGATCATATTGGTTCATCGATCTTGACTTCACTTGCCCTTCACCGTTGCCATCGTCCATCGGCGCCAAGTCTTGCTCAAGCTTCACCGCCACGCGGTCCATCACTCCAAAGCCTTCGACTTGCCCTTCACACTTGCAACCGGTCCATCAAGCCAAGTCTTGTCTTGATCTTCTCCACCTTGATCACATGACTCAATGTCATGTCTCATGTGCGTTAAGCTCCTTCATCATCACATGTGTGAGCTTTGCAACATCTCTAAGCCATTTTCACCTTCATGGCATATGTTGCTCACACACATGTACCTATGGACTAATTACCTGTGTATCTCACATAAACACAATTAGTCCACCTAGGTTGTCACTCAATTACCAAAACCAAACAAGGATCTTTCAGCACCTCAGCGTCCGATCATCTGATGCCATCCACATATCACTCCCGTTCAACCTCGCGCGTACGATTCCAATGGTCAAAATCACTCGCGCTGTTACTTAAGTCGTGATCGGACTCACCAGTCCATGACTGGACGCACCCGAGCGGTGTCAGATCAACACAAACGCGCATGCCATCAAACTGTGACCAGACGTGCTGATCCCTTCGGCTCCACAGCGTCAGGTCACTTCCAGAGAGCATCCAAAGCGCCTAAACCTGGACCGGACGCGTCAAGTGCGCCACAACCGGACGTGCCACCGCATCAGGTCCTTATTGCCTCAGCTCAATGCTTGCGTCACCATACGTCATGCGTGATAGGACTCTCCACCACTACATCAGTTCACAATGTGAGCCTGCGTCCGGTCACATGACCAACCAAAGCCGAGCGTGCCACCTAGATTTATAATTGACTGGACGCAGCACCTCCGAGTCCGGTCACCACGTGACCTGCGTCCGATCACCGTTTTTCAGTGACAATCACCTCCTTCACTTCACCAACTTCTCCACCCTTTCTCAAATGTGCCAACCACCAAGTGTATCACCTTGTGCACGTGTGTTAACATATTTTCATAAGCATTTTCAAGGGTGTTAGCTCTCAATTAGAATCTAAATGCATATGCAATGAGTTAGAACATCTAGTGACACTTTGATAACCATATTTCGATACGAGTTTCACCCCTCTTAATAGTACGACTATCGATCTTAAATGTGATCACACTCACTAAGTGTCTCGATCACCAAACCAAAAAGCTCCTATGGATATCACCTTTGCCTTGAGCTTTTTGTTTTTCTCTTTCTTCTTTTTCAAGCTGAGCACTTGACCATTACCATGGTCACACCATCATCATGATCTTCACCAATTGCTCCATCACTTAGAATGTGCTACCTATCTCATGATCACTAGAGTAAATAGGTTAGCACTAAGGGTTTCATCAATTCACCAAAACTAAACTAGAGCTTTCATCATGCCATATAATAAAAATTTTATGGTTGGTGAACTTCTGTTCCACAAGCATATATGTCTCATTCTTTTTTAGACTTGTATAGTATAAATTAGAAGGTAATTTTGGTAATTTCTTCAACACATACTTTTTTCCCGATGATATCTTTGTAATGTTGAGGTACTCCACATTACCCTCACACATTGTCTCTATATGACAGCCATTTCGACGTATATCTTTAAAGCTCAACAAATTTCTCTGAGGCTTTGGGGAATAAAGTGTTTTGTTAATGTCTACCTTTGTCCCACAAGGTAATATTATTGTGGCTCTTCTTGAGCCCTCTATCAATTTAGCAATTCCAGATATACTATGATTAACTGCATCTTGCAATGTAAGATAGGAAAAATACATTTTACTCTTCAAGATAGTATATGTTGTCCCACTATCTATAATACATATATTTTATTCACTTGCAAGCTCTTGAGGCAATGGCTCATCCATTCTCTTCAAAATAAAATGTACTAATAAACATTAGTATCTATTGAAAAACAATTATTATGTAGTGAAACATACGAAAATGAATACTAATTAAATACAAACATAATACAAATTTATTCATTACTTTATAAGATGAAACATGCTTCATTAATACTACTATTGCATTGCACTTATTCATGCACAAAGAAGAATTAACTACAATGTCATTTATTCTTGGACGAAGAAATCAGAAACATCAAGATGATTTGCGGTGTTGTGGCCATATTCTCCAATATCTGTCGCACTAAATATATTGTCATAAAAAATATTATCACCACTACCACTTGTAAAGTTTGTCTCCATCTTTTTGTTTTTCTCAAGTGATTCTTGATAGAGATCAACAAGATATTTTTATGTGCGACAGTTGCGTGCCCAATGAGATATTCCACCACAACGATAGCATGTATTTTTTGTTTCATCAATTTTGCCTTTATCTTTATCTCCCCTTTCTTGCCTCTTATGGGAATGTCCCGTGTTCTTGAATTGAACACCATAATTTCCTCTACCATGACCACGTCCATATCCACGACCACATCCGCGCCCACGTCCCACTATTTTGATTATCATATCTTGCTGCATTTACTTCAGGGGGTGGGTTTGAACCATTTTGACGTGTCTCATGGTTTTTCATCAAAAGCTCATTGTTTTGTTCAGCCACAAGCAAACAAGAAATAAGTTCAGAATATTTCTTGAATCCTTTCTCACGATATTGCTGCTGAAGCAGCACATTTGATGCATAGAATGTAGAGAATGTTTTATCTAGCATCTCTTCATCTGTTATTTTTTCTCCACACAACGGTAATAGTGATGTGATTCTAAACATGACTGAATTGTATTTAGAAACACTTTTATAGTCTTGCAACCTTAGATGCAACCACTCATACCAAGCTTTCGCGAGGATCACTGTTTTCTGATGATCAAATCTTTCTTTTAGTTTGTTCCAAAGAACAAGGGGGTCCTTATTAATAAGGTATTCAACTTTTAGACCTTCATGGAGGTGACGACGAATGAAAATGAAAGCCTTAGCTTTATCTTAGCTAGATGCATTATTATTTTTCTTTGATCGCATCACCAAGCCCATTGGCATTCAGGTGAGTTTCAACATTTAGCACCCATGACAAGTAATTCTTGCCCGAAATATCCAGAGCCGTGAAATCAAGCTTGGCAAGATTCGACATAGTAAACTATAAAATATACAGGTTGCAAAATTCAAACAATCGTGCAAGAACAAAATATAGAAATAAATACAAATGATAATGTCTTACCACAAAAATAACATTATGATCAATGTAAAATTTCTTACCTAGTTCTTGATAGCTTTTAGAGACAGTCGTGCTAATAACGTGTTATATAATAACTAGTTTGACTATCAAGAATATGTATGTAAGAATGTGGAGAACAAATTTAGAGAGAAAGGAAATAAACTATTCTCTTTTCTCTTGTCTTATTTCCAATACATAAGCCCTCCTATATATAGCCATACATGTGAGATGGAGTTACAAGAATTGATACTAGGAGAGTTACATCATTGATAAAGTACAAGGTTATAGCTTTGATGGTATAGGGGTTATGGACATCCACACTAATATTTCATAACACTTAACTCAATATATATCTTAAAAATTTTGGATTTTTTTGCATTTGCTTCATTTAGATATTAAGTACTCCTTTAACTATAGAATGTTATGTTTTTTTTTAGATACGTAGCTTTTACCGTATACTATATCAATAGACATAATTAATATCTAGGTAAGTAACCAAAATTATGTATGCATATCAATTATCATCTCCATAAGTTGGTAATCAGATAGTGCTGCAATCGGCGTTCTGGAAGGAGAGCCGCCCGCCGCCGACGTCAAAAAGGATGTGCATGTTCTGCTGCTGAAAGTTGCCGATGATGCTTTGCTGGTACCCTCTGGCGATCGCCATGCAGGCCGTCGACTTCTCCAGCGGGGCCCAGTAGTTCTCGGGAGGGAGGGCCATGTCCGCGCCGCCGCTGAAGTGGAGCACCAGCGTCGGCACCACCCTGTCCAGGTCGCGGCGTGCCACGCACAGCGCCATGCCACCGTCGTCCTCCCCCGGCGGCGGCACGAGGCTTCCGTTCAGCTGCCGGGCAAGCTCGTCCATCAGCGGCTCGTACGCGTCTTTGACGAGCGACGTGAAGGGGCTGCCGGAGTCGATGATGACGCCGCCCTCCCAGAACCCCTCCTCAACTTCCTGGAGATCGAACGCCGAGCTCGGGATAGGCAGCTTGGTCGCGCCCACGGTGATCCCCACCAGCGGGAGGTAGTAGAACGTGCTGTAGGGGTAGTCCTTGGGGCTCTCCACGAACGGCATGGACATCACGGGCCCGCCGCCGCTCAGGCTCGCGGCGGCGCCGACGAACAGGTGGCTCGACCCGCCGTTGTTGTGGAAGTAGGGCGTGAGGCAGTAGGAGAACCTCTTGGCGTCCGTCTGGGAGACCAGCGACAGGCGCCCGCGGCCGAGCCCGATGAGTCCCGACGCGCCGTGGAGCGCCCCCGGCGTGACCTCCGTGAAGCTCACGCACCCGAAGGCGAGCGTGGCCCCACCGGATTGGAACGTGAAGACGTCGGTGCCGAGGGAGCCGATGATGCCGCCGGCGCCGTAGGTGACCAGGAACGTGCAGCTGCCGTCTAGCGCGCAGAGGTGCACGTCGTTGGCCGCGCACGCCCTGTCCCGGCACGGCACGGGCGCGAAGCTGCTGGATGCCGACGCGTTGAAGTAGGGCAGGTCCTGCCGCGCGCACACCTTCCGGAGGCACGTCGTGGACTGCGTCCAGATGAGGTCGCTGCCGGTGTCGATGAGGGCCTCCGCGCGCTGCGGTGGGTCGCCGACCAGGTACTCTGCGACGTACTGCCGGGTCGCCCAGTGCACTGGCGCACTCACGCCGGCGCCGGCACGCATGGACGTGGCCAGGTTCTGCCGGCTGAGGGCGATGGCACGGCGCACGCGCTCCGGTGCGGTGTAGTTCCCTTTGGCGTCGACATGGGTGAGTTTCATGCGGATCCCAGTGGCACCGCCGCCGCCGCCGCCGCTGCAGGTTAGTAGGGCAGTGCTGAGGCACAAGAGCACGAGTAAAACCAATGTTGGCGCCATTGTTGTTTTGATCTGAGCTTATTCTTGTGCCCATCGAGACCTTATATATATATATAGTATGGCTGTGCATGCATGGTGATCCTCATCTCCATTATCTTGTGGATAAGCAATGGGTGGCTACGCACAAGACGGTTGACTGCAGGTTGACTCTCCAGTTATTATCATCACAAAATACTGCCACAGCTCGGTAACGACAGGACAATGATGCAGAGGAACATCAAGCCACATTTTTTTGATTTATTTTAGGGATAACGGCGTTCGCAAACTCAAACACGCGATGCATCGCGCGTTCATGCACTCGCATGACCCATCCGCGCCCCGCCGGAGAGGAAGAAGACGACTCGACCCGGGCCGGGGTTAGGGTTTCAGGAGGAGATTCACTCACTGACGGGTGTATAGAAGAGGGTTTGGGGACGGTGGTCGCGACACGAAGGTGGTGGCGGGCAAGACGGCGGTGGGGCGGGGTAGTGGGAGACGGCGGTTGGGCGGGGTTAGCGGCGGGGGCGTCGCGCAGAGAGTGGTCGTCGGCTGTCCTGTGATTAGGGAGGCGGCGGCAGGAGGTGGGTGGCACAATGAGGCGGTGGGAGCCTCTGGCCTCCATTGGTGGAAGCGCAAGGGAGGTGCGTGAGGCTGCGTCTTGTGGCGAAAGCGAGGCGGGGGGTAGGGGTAGAGAGGCGGTGCTGGCAACATAGAAGAAAGGGGTAGGGGTAGGGGTGGCGCTGGCAACGAGAAAGACAAGTCGCATGGTTCCAAAACGGGTGACCCGTCACGCAATATCATCGTCTAACGGCGTTACAATGGCCCCGTTCGCTGGTCTGAAACTTGGCTGAAAAACACTGTTTCGGCTGAAATGTTGTGAGAGAAAAACACTGTTCGGCTGGTTTGGTGAACATTGACAGGGGATCAGCCGGCTGGCATGCCCTGTCCTGGCACGGCACGGGCGCGAAGCTGCTGGATGCCGACGCGTTGAAGTAGGGCAGGTCCTGCCGCGCGCACACCTTCCGGAGGCACGTCGTGGACTGCGTCCAGATGAGGTCGCTGCCGGTGTCGATGAGGGCCTCCGCGCGCTGCGGTGGGTCGCCGACCAGGTACTCTGCGACGTACTGCCGGGTCGCCCAGTGCACTGGCGCACTCACGCCGGCGCCGGCACGCATGGACGTGGCCAGGTTCTGCCGGCTGAGGGCGATGGCACGGCGCACGCGCTCCGGTGCGGTGTAGTTCCCTTTGGCGTCGACATGGGTGAGTTTCATGCGGATCCCAGTGGCACCACCGCCGCCGCCGCCGCCGCTGCAGGTTAGTAGGGCATTGCTGAGGCACAAGAGCACGAGTAACACCAATGTTGGCGCCATTGTTGTTTTGATCTGAGCTTATTCTCGTGCCCATATATATATATATATATATATATATATGCATGCATGGTGATCCTCATCTCCATTATCTTGTGGATAAGCAATGGGTGGCTACGCACAAGACGGTTTGACTGCAGGTTGACTCTCCAGTTATTATCATCACAAAATACTGCCACAGCTCGGTAACGACAGGACAATGATGCAGAGGAACATCAAGCCACATTTTTTTGATTTATTTTAGGGATAACGGCGTTCGCAAACTCAAACACGCGATGCATCGCGCGTTCATGCACTCGCATGACCCATCCGCGCCCCGCCGGAGAGGAAGAAGACGACTCGACCCGGGCCGGGGTTAGGGTTTCAGGAGGAGATTCACTCACTGACGGGTGTATAGAAGAGGGTTTGGGGACGGTGGTCGCGACACGAAGGTGGTGGCGGGCAAGACGGCGGTGGGGCGGGGTAGTGGGAGACGGCGGTTGGGCGGGGTTAGCGGCGGGGGCGTCGCGGCAGAGTGGTCGTCGGCTGTCCTGTGATTAGGGGAGGGCGGCGGCAGGAGGTGGGTGGCACAGCGAGGCGGTGGGAGCCTCTGGCCTCCATTGGTGGAAGCGCAAGGGAGGGTGCGTGAGGCTGCGTGCGCGAGCGGAGGCGGGGGGGGGGTAGGGGTAGAGAGGCGGTGCTGGCAACATAGAAGAAAGGGGTAGGGGTAGGGGTGGCGCTGGCAACGAGAAAGACAAGTCGCATGGTTCCAAAACGGGTGACCCGTCACGCAATATCATCGTCTAACGGCGTTACAATGGCCCCGTTCACGATGCAAACTTGGCTGAAAAACACTGTTTTTCACTGCTTTACCGAATGTTGTGAGAGAAAAACACTGTTCGGCTGGTTTGGTGAACATTGACAGGGGATCAGCCGGCTGGCATGCCCTGTCCTGGCACGGCACGGGCGCGAAGCTGCTGGATGCCGACGCGTTGAAGTAGGGCAGGTCCTGCCGCGCGCACACCTTCCGGAGGCACGTCGTGGACTGCGTCCAGATGAGGTCGCTGCCGGTGTCGATGAGGGCCTCCGCGCGCTGCGGTGGGTCGCCGACCAGGTACTCTGCGACGTACTGCCGGGTCGCCCAGTGCACTGGCGCACTCACGCCGGCGCCGGCACGCATGGACGTGGCCAGGTTCTGCCGGCTGAGGGCGATGGCACGGCGCACGCGCTCCGGTGCGGTGTAGTTCCCTTTGGCGTCGACATGGGTGAGTTTCATGCGGATCCCAGTGGCACCACCGCCGCCGCCGCCGCCGCTGCAGGTTAGTAGGGCATTGCTGAGGCACAAGAGCACGAGTAACACCAATGTTGGCGCCATTGTTGTTTTGATCTGAGCTTATTCTCGTGCCCATATATATATATATATATATATATATGCATGCATGGTGATCCTCATCTCCATTATCTTGTGGATAAGCAATGGGTGGCTACGCACAAGACGGTTTGACTGCAGGTTGACTCTCCAGTTATTATCATCACAAAATACTGCCACAGCTCGGTAACGACAGGACAGTGATGCAGAGGAACATCAAGCCACATTTTTTTGATTTATTTTAGGGATGGCGTTCGCAAACTCAAACACGTGATGAGTCGCGCGTTCATGCACTCGCGTGACCCATCCGCGCCCCGCCGGAGAGGAAGAAGACGACTCGACCCGGGCCGGGGTTAGGGTTTCAGGAGGAGATTCACTCACTGGCGGGTGTATAGAAGAGGGTTTGGGGACGGTGGTCGCGACACGAAGGTGGTGGCGGGAGAGACGGCGGTGGGAGCCGGCGGTTGGGCGGGGTTAGCGGCGGGGGTGTCACGGCGGAGTGGTCATCCGCTGCACTGTGATTAGGGGAGGGCGGTGGCAGGAGGTGGGTGGCACGGCGAGGCGGCGAGGAGCCTCCGGCCTCCATTGGTGGAAGCGCGAGGAGGGTGCGTGAGGCTGCGTCTTGTGGAGGAGGGGGGGTAGGGGTAGAGAGGCGGCGCTGGCAACATAGAAGAAAGGGGTAGGGGTGGCGCTGGCAACGAGAAAGGCAAGTCGCACGGTTCCGAAACGGCGTTACAATGATGTTGAAAGTCTACTTGGCAACAAGAATTCGTCAGCTAGTAGCACTTACCATGGTCTACAAGGCGTCAAGGCTATAGCAACAGCAACAACCTTCTCTCCTCACCGCTCTCACCAGTACAGAATGGTCCCCACAAAGCGTCATAAAACGATAGTGAAGGAATTGTCAGCTACAAGGCTAGCTCCAAGGATACGGTGCATTACATTTCTTTTATTTGGAGTTTATAATAATTTTGTGGACAAACTTGAGGAACCAAGGTGTTTGGTGTTCTTTTCCACATCGCGCTATATCATAACACTCTGGTTTCGCCGAAGTTGGTGCGGACAAATACTGTGGTCGAGAATGTAAATTTGTCCTTAGGGCACATGTCCTTGTCCGTTCTTGTGATCTAGACTATCGGATATGCATTGTGATACGTGCACAGCAAGAGAGACAATATAATTAAGCATATCCAATGGTCCACACCGTTTTAGCACATGCATGACGCATAAACAAGTCTGGCATGCTACATCTCGGTCAACTAGCAAACAACAACCTCAATTTCTATGGCGCGTTGCATTTCTACTGTGGCACGATGAGCAAGCCAACAAACAGAAATCCATAAAATGCTAGGTAAAAGAGAGAAAAATAACTACGAACAGAACACAAGATTGTTTCAAACGTATTCCAGCGCTACCCGCGGCACCCTCGCGTGCCAGGTTCAATCCCCTCGGGGATGAACTGGCTAGCCGGAGGTAAAAAAAAATCCCCTCACCTGCTCCGTGTTCCCAAAATATAGGTTTGTGGCACCGGCCCATTCATAGAGTAACGGACTCCTGTGTGCGGGCGGGATACAGGGTTCGGAGGTTTTTCTCGGACTAGGTGAATAGTCATCTACCTTAAGCGCAATGCTCGGGGAGCGCATGCTATCCCTACAGTCTGAGTTTTTTTTTCTATCTTGTCGTTAAACCCGTCACATATAGACCATAGCTAGGCATCTAAAAAAAAGAACAAAGCATAGTTCACTAGTCTTATCCTCAGGGCAAACCGCCTCAACCCAAAATCAAGAGGCGACCTGCTACCGGCTGGGCTTCTATGGCTACTAATTTTTTTTAAGGTCCAATTCCACTAAGAATCTTGAATTTGAGTCGCGGCCTATGTCGCCACTAGGCCCATGCTAGTCCTGACCCTTCTTCTAGACCTGGAAGGTTCTGCGATCTTCTCATCCTTAAGTTTTTGCCCTTGAAATTCTCAAAAAAAAAAGTTTTTGCCCATGAACCGGTGTTGAGGAAAGCCTAAATTAGCGGAAGGGTAAAAAATTGTCATCTAACGTGCAAATTTTATATGAGAATCTGCAATGTCTCGACATCAAGGTTGATAACTTAAGCACGAGCCTCATGTTGAGAAAATATTCGGCAAAACCTCCTAAAAATAAACTTAGGAGTTTTATTAAAACAATGTACATCTATAGTGCATATATAAACATACATTGTCATAAATTTAAGATTCAAACTCATTTTATAAAAATTCGGGTAAACATTTGGTGCAAACCTCTCACCCTGTGCAATCGTGAAAATCCCCTTGCAACCCATATTTATAAGTTTCTTAATTTTTTTGAAATGGTGCACATCCACATGCATATACAGAAAGTACATTGTAGGAAAAATTAAGATGCAAAACTATTTTCTAAAAATCCATATGCAAATAATATTTTTTAGGTGCATATGTACTAAAGACAAAATCACATGAATTTTTTGTTATTTACATATGATTTTTTAGATTGAGTTTGTGTCTCAGCCTTTTCTACCATATGCATCTATAGATGTACTATAAATGTGCATCGCCATTTCAAAAAATTTAATATGTATTCCAAGAAGTTTTCACGATTTCCACCGAATCAGAGGTTTGAACCGGATATTTACCCAACCTGTTCATCAAGATTCAAGTGCTCGACATGATTTGCTGGCTCAGTCTTTTGAAGGGCATATGTGATGACTTCGTCAACTTTAAGATTTATCAGCTCAATCTTTCAGAGATGGTCATCAAGATATGGTATATGCAAGATGTTCGTGATGGTGAATGCACGTGTATATATATGTGAATGTCTTTGTCTGTCCTGTAATTAAAAAAAAGTGCAGACCTCGTAGTCAAGTTTGGTTCCTGTAGTTGTTTTCTTACAGGAGCTATTATAAGTATACTGCACTAATTTTTAGTGGACTTTACTACTTACGTGGCCCTTTTAGATCCGGCACCAGTCTTTAGGGCACCCTCAACGATAGAGTTACTTACTAGCTCATATAAATTTAAAAAAAAAATAAAAGCTAACCGCTAAAGGTTATAGGCAGCTATTTAGAACATTGAAGCGTAGACGCATGAATCATAGGAAAGTGTACACATGAATCATAGGAAAGTGTATGAGCTTAGTTCGTCATAAAAAGTTAGCTTATCATTCTCTCTCCTTCTTATTAACACCGTAACATCCTGTGATTCTGTGTGTGTAGGGTCGAGATGGTAACTAGAGAGGGGTGAATAGTCGTTTCTAAATTTAATCGCGTCGGATAACCGAAACAAAAGCGGAATTATAACAATCGGTCTAGCCAAGACTACACACATCTATCTATGTTCTCTAGCACCTTGTAAAGATCCTAATTAAGCAACTAAGGTGTCGGGTTAGCTAGAACTCACCTAATCAATTCTAGAAGTAAGGTCACACAAACCTATGCTACTAGTACTTTAAGCAACGGGGAAGCTCCTACATATGCTAGTAAGCAAAAGCACAAAGCCACCTAAGTTCACTAGCAATACTCAATAACAAGGCAACCAATGCCAAATTAGAGAGTGCAAATACTTAGCTATACAAACTAAGCAATATGACTAACAAGGTTACACAAACTAAATTAACCACACAAGGGAGCTACTTAAGCTACACAAGCTAGAAGGTTACTAGCAAGCTACACAAACTAACTAATTACAAAAGCAACTACACAAGCACAATGTATATGAAAGTAATTACAAGCTTATGTAACGAGGATGCAAACCAACGAGAATACAAGGATAACACGATGATTTTTCCTAAGGTTCACGTGCTTGCCAACACGCTAGCCCCCGTTGTGTCGATCGCTCACTTGGTGGTTCGACGGCTAATTGGCATCACCCGCTAAGTCCGCATGTCGGGCACCATAAGAACCTACCCCGAAAGTGAGGGTAGCTCAATGACATGCTCAACTAGAGTTGCTCTTCATGGCTCCCGTGGGGCGAGCACAATACCCCTCACAAAGCTCTTCTCCGGAGCACCACACAAGCTTCTTACGGCCTTCGACGAAGACCACCACCAAGCCGTCTAGGAGGTGGCAACCTTCAAGAGTAATAAGCACCATCGACTTGCAAGACAACCACCTAGTGCCACTAGATGAACCTCATGATGCAATCACACTAGAATCGTCCACTCACTCGATCAGATGAACACTATCAAGCTCAAGTGAGTTAGAGGGCTCCCAAGCACTACCACATAAGCCACCAAGGCTCTAGTGTGCTCAGCTTATAGCCCAAGGCCGAGACCCCCTTCTATTATAGCCCCCATGAAAATAAAGCCGTCGTACTCCTTCACTGGGCACAGCTCAGGGTGACCGGACGCTCCGGTCGTATCGACCGAACGCACCCTGCCAGCGTTCGGTCAACGGATGCACGCCACGTGTCGCCTCCGTTCAACCTCAATCGCTTGAACTCAACGGTCAAGTGATGACCGGACACACCACAGTGCCAAGACCGGACACACCTCTGCCGAGTCCGGTCATTTCTAGAGAGGTTCCATTCACGACCGGACGCGTCAGTTTGATCACGACCGGAGCTATTCAACCGCTACCGGACACTTCTAGTAAGCTCCTAGAGCTGTTCAACCGCTACCGAACACGTTCAGTCGATCACGATCGGACGCAGCATCAACGTCCAGTCCTTTCTCCTCTTCTCTATGCCACCACGTCAGCGGGACCGGACGCACCCACCCAGCGTCTAGTCACGAAGTGACCCAGCGTTCGGTCGAAGACCGACGCTTGCACCTTCACTGCTGCCACTGATCGGACGTAGGACCCTAGCATCTGGTGCACTCTGTGAAACCCTGTCTTTTCTGTACAGGGCGCCGGTGGCACCGTCGGACTATCCGCACTCCGCCGGTGAAGTTTTGAACCCTTTTCTTTACCGAGTTGATCCACATCAACTCCAACTTATTCTCCTTTATAAATGTGCCAACACCACCAAGTGTTGTGTTAGCTTTTTACAAATATTTTCCAAAGGATTAGCCGCTCAACTTGCCACGTCACTCGATCCTAGCGATGATGCAAAGTTAGATCACTCGAGTGGCACTAGATGACCGATATGCAAACAAGTTTGCCCCTCTTGATAGTACGGCCATCTATCCTAAATTCGGTCATAAACTTCTCTACACATCTATGACCGGTGAAATAAAATGCCCTAGGTTATACCTTTGCCTTGCGCATTCCATTCCTTCTCCTCCAATGTTGATGCAACGCATGCACCAACCAATCACCAAATGATATGATCCACTTCATATCATCACATGACCATATTGGTTCATCGATCTTGACTTTACTTGCTTTTCACCATTGCCTTCGTCCATCGGCGCCAAGTCTTGCTTAAGCTTCACCGCCACGCGGTCCATCGCTCCAAAGCCTTTGACTTGCCCTTCACTCTTGCAACCGGTCCATCAAGCCAAGTCTTGTCTTGATCTTCTCCACCTTGATCACATGAGTCAATGTCATGTCTCATGTGCAATTAGCTCCTTCATCATCACATGTGTGAGCTTTGCAACATCTCCGAGCCATTTTCACCTTCATGGCTTATGTTGCTCACACACATGTACCTGTGGACTAACCACCTGTGTATCTCGCATAAACACAATTAGTCCACCTAGGTTGTCACTCAATTACTAAAACCACATAAGGACCTTTTAGTGTGTAATAAAAATCCCAACGTTCAAAAATTTTCGCTGCAATGTGTGTTGCATGTAACATGTAGTCAACTTAAGTCAACCTTTTTCCCTTCTAACCCTGATTTCAAAATCATGACTTTAAAGTTTTTGCAACCTCAACACCTTCATCATGTTGTAGACTCTATCAGGGCCATGATAAAGGAAATTTCTCAAATAAAATATTTCTAAATAAATTAAGATGTGAGTTGAATTCAAGCCCTGCTCGAATTCAACACAAGACCGTGCCACACATATTATATATTCGATCTAAAATGAAACCCTAATCCTCTCTCATCTTTTTCAAAGGGAGGTTGCAAATAAGTTGGTGCATCCATTTAGTATAGATGCATGAGTGTCTGGTTCTTATCTTGGTTGTGCTTGGAGGTAATCTCTTCACCTAAATCCCTTGATCAAAAATAGGAAAAACATCTCCTTGTTCCCTTGGGCCAAAACTCCCTCCATTACCTCCCTCCAGTCCATCACGTAGCCTTCCTCTTGGCCCGAATGGCTAGCCAGTCGCCCTCAGGCCCACTCGCCCCCACGGCCCAGTCCACTTTGTGATCAAGAGGAGGAAACAATCAACCATCTCCTGGTTGAATGTGTCTTCGCTAGGGAGTTTTGGTTAAATTTGCTATGGCAGCTCGGTCTCCAGGCCTTGTCCCCACAACCTACTAAAAATCCTTTCTTGATTGATGGGAGAGAGCTAGTAATGCTACTTCTAATATGGTTAGGCAAGGGGTTAATTCCCTAATCATTATGGGGGCCTGGATTCTTTGGAACCATCGTAATCATTGTGTTTTTGATGGAGCGGCTTCTAGTGTTGCTGGGGCTTTAGTAGTGGCTGGGAGGAGAGCCGGTTGTGGACCACGGCGGGGGCTCGTGGCCTTTCCCTCTTGTCACCCATCTCCTAGGAGATTAGTGCTTTGGAGTCCATGTGAGTCGTTTTGCAGCCAAATTAGGTGTATATGTGTTTTGGGCTGTTGTAGCATGTGTTGTGTGAGTGAGTTGTGTTTGGGTGTCTTGTAAGTGTTGGGTTCTTATACCTCTTTCTTCTTAATACAATGAGACACAGATCTCCTGCGTTTTTCGAGAAAAAAGGTCAGAAATTTTCTTCCCAACAAGTAAAGTAGTCATGTGCCATAATCAGTATTTATTAGGAAGCTAGGGCGCTGGAGTCATAGGTTATAATTAGCTGAATATTTTTAAGCATTGTGGTTAATTTAATTTGCAACCACTATGCATAAATTTGAACACGTGAAATTGGTTTCCTGTTGTCCACCAACACCTAGGATCACATCGAGAGGAGGTTGTAATATAAGCATTAAAAAGAACCTTGCTACAAGATAATGTAGAGATTGCCTCATGGCTACTAACACACATTCAATCTTTAAGCTATTACCATGACTAATGGTAACTTCAGATTATGCATATCATGCTCTATTGCTTCACGAGCCTAAACTGAAGCTAAAGTTCAGGGAAAATATAAAAGGGCTCTATCACTTGATGACCTTAGATTGTATCGCTTCACAAAACTGAAGCCAAATAAAGAAAGATAAAAAAAGTGAGCTCCTTCATGAGCGTAAACTGAAACAAAAAAAAAGCTCCTTCATGAGCCTAAGATGAAACAAAAAAAAGCTCCTTCATGAGCCTAAACTGGAAATAAAACATGCTCCTTCATGAGCCTAAACTGTAAGAGGAAAATATATGCTTCGCAGCTTTATGAGCTTAAACTGTTAAGGAAGTATTACTTATTCTCTTACTAAAGCAACCACCAAACTGGAGAGTCACTACATATACTATACATATGCAGTGAAGTATAAATTATAAATATCACACTCAGTGTAATGTTAAACCTGTGTAATGTTAAAAAAAATCATTGACAATACATGTAGATCAGATGTTCGCTAATATGCCAATTTCAGAAAGTTGGACAAGCCATGGCTACCACTGCTCTGTTGCAAAGCTGCCGGATCTAAGGCCATGGCTGCCATTTCTCATATCAACATATAGTTCACAGTCAAATTGCCAAAAGTAAAAAAGAATCATGTCAATTATCCAACAGTCACAGAATTTATCTGCAAATGGAGTGCCAATATCTGTAGGACTGCAGCTGGCAACAAACGCCTTGATGGCACGCGACAGCCTTGATGCTTATCAGAGGTGTATTAAACTGTGTAATGATGACAATGACAATTCATATTAGGTAACTGGAGAGATGGTGGAGCAACTGATATAACTGACCGATGATGAAATACATGTGAGAGGTGTCAGCTTGCTAACACAAATGGAAGAATTCAAAAAGCAGATAATTATGCAGTTCACTAATTCACATATTAATTGAATTGGCTAAACAACTCTCAGCTTATTTAAGGCATTATTTCTTATAGTCTGCAACTAATATACCAAATTTCTGAATGACAGGACCAATACTGGACAGCTGACCAAAATAGTAGATACCATTCGGTCATAGTATGCTGATTAAGTTTACACATTATAAATTGCATATAGTTCAGGCGATGATTCAGGACCAATAATCATTACAAATCAGTAGCACTGAATTGGATTAGTTTCTGAATGAAAGGGCTGATTTAAATAAGTTAGCAATGATCCAGTCTACTAATAATCAACAAAAAACTCACTGTAGTTGACATGGTCAAACCTGAGTTTCCTAGGATTAGCAACTTCAGTCCACCAACAATTGACGTGCAATGATGCAATTGAAGCTTGCAGTTTCTTGGCACCTACGATGCAAAAATTATGAATCACCTACAATGCATTTTTTTGGCCATATTCATGTACAATTTACACATTCTTAAAATCATAAAATCCATATTCAGGTTAGACCACAAGACTCGGTTCCGAAACAAAGCAATTAACAAACTGCACTATTTAAAAATTCAACAGGAAATGCTCTGATAGGAGAATTGAAAAATGAAAGTAAGTAGTTCTCTTTAGTGTGCTAAGCATCACCAGTAACATCTAAGGAAAAAACCAGACATACAAATTGCAGTGAATTTCATCATCCATGTGGATATTCAAGTAACATGTTTGTGCATGCAAACCCAGTTCTGGTTACAGGTGGCTGGTAGCCTTTATTTCTAATAGCTATATATTAAGGTGAGGTTGATTTAATTTATTTTGATCAATCGTGATTATATTCCCTGTGCTGAGAACCCGTCTGGGGATTCCACCAATTTAGCATGTCCCACAGAGACAAAATGAACAAGCTGACTGCAGGTATCCAGCCATTCAATCCTACCATCGGTCATTTGCAGAATCCCAAAACATCATGAACAAAAGGGAGTGAGGGCAAACCTGGATCTTTTGCTGCTGCCTCTACAATGTCGCAGCGAGGAGGAAGTATAGGAGAAGCGCATCGTCACTGTCGCGTCGAGGACACGAAGATGAGGACGACAGGGGCACGTCCTTTCGTCGAGGACTATGTCGGCGGACCTTCTCCTTCCTCAAGCCGTCCGCTTGCTGCTACTCCAACTAGAGTCGAAGATGAAGGCTACTGCCTTCCACCCTTCTCTTCTTCCAACCCCGGAGACGCAGAGATCCTGAGGCACCTCCTTCGGCTGCTCGAGCGCTACCACTCCGTCGGCCACAACGGGGTGAACGCCGGCCTACCTTTGTGGGACCCGTGGAACATCCCAGGTACGTACGTGCGCTACTATATATATACTTGAGTACTACTTGTAATAATAATCCTCCTCCTCTGGCTTTGCGCGCCCTCCGATCGGATGGTCTGGACCGGAGCTCCACTGACAGAGTGCGCGCGTGCACTGCAGGAATGCCGCTCGACGAGGAAGAAGCCAATAGAAGGGAGAAGTATTACGTCACCGATTGCTCTGTCCTCAAGAGCAGTTGTACCAATCCGGCGACGCAAACTGGGTACAGGAAGCCGCGTGACCTCGGGTGGGGGATTCCTGGCGAGAGCATCGGGCCAGCACAGGTCACCGGTTTGAAGACGACCTACGACTTCCACATTGGAGAAACCATATACCAGGAAGGAAGCAAAGGAACTAGCTGGATCATGGACGTCTACTCCCTGATTGAGAATGGTCAGGTCGAGGTATGGCAATTAATAAGCACGCCATTGCAGTATCATGCTTGGATGGATAAACCATCTCTTTCCCAAAACATAAAACATATGGATTGGAAACATAAATGAACTAATTTCCGCCCATTCTCTCCCTCATGGAGTCATGGATAATTGGAGAGTGTGTTTAACCTCAAGTTTTTTTTTACATACCCAGGCATGGCAGTATCACCGCACACTTCCACTGACAGTGCTTTTGCTCGCCCCCACCCACCCACCCAAAAGCATATGTGTTAGGTCATTTAGATGTAGGGTTACTTTAGGTTGTTTCTTTAATAATAGGGGATGCAGATAGTCTATATGCGAATCAGGGGATGATAGATTAATTTATAATAGCGAGTGTACGTAATTTAATTAGATTCATATTATGGGTTGCTTTAGTTATTTTACATAATAATGGTTAAGTGCAATTGAGAATAAGATTAAGGGGTTACTTTAGAGTATTATTATGAAGGGAAACGGTAGGAAATTTTAGAAAACAAGTCAGATCATTGCTATCATCATCACCAAACCACCCCCAGATCCTTGAGAGGCACAACACAACACTTGCAGCTACAAGAACCTAGCCGTCGTTACTCCCACCACACGGCGAAGGCGGAGTGGCTGAGGGTCTGCATGAGGTCGAGGATGCCGAGCTCCATGCATCCACTCCATGGCTCTCCAGCCATCGAGGGACGGAAATGGTTGGGGGATTTCTCCTATGCGGAGGGGAGGTGTCGCACGGCAAGGGAGACGGAGGGACAAGTGGGGGCAGCCGCCGGCTGGAGGGAGTGGAAGGGGTGGCTAGTCGCCGGAGGGAGTGGTAGAGGCTACCGATGGCGGCGGCGGGCGGCAGGCGGCGAGCCGCGAGCACGGGGGAGGGTAGGCGGCAGGCCGGCAGCCGTCTTGCAGGGAAGCGTGCAGGAGGAAATGCGGCGTCGGCTTAATTACCCGTGCGGTTCGGGCGCAAAGGGGAGAAAATGCGGCGGGTTGAGGAATAATTGTGTTTAGGTTTGCTCTGACTAGTGGGCCCGTAAAATTTAGGCAATAATTGGCCCAGACGAGTGCGCCCTTGTCTGATCCATATGTAGCGACGGATCGTTAGTGGTGAAAAATAGGATATAATAAGGACCGGCTATTCAACGATAAAGTAAAATAAAAATACTGACCAACAGTCTATTTAAAAAATCTCTACCGTCTGACATTTAAACGGTATTTTGTTATTTTTAGCAATCCCCATTCGATGTTAATTTTGAGGTTGCCAAATATATGCCCGGATGTTTCTCTTAAAAGTTTCTAGAATTTGTTTCTTTCCTAACATGTCTCTTGAGGATTAATATAAAGGCTTTATTTAAACATTCAATTAATAATAGTAAGATAGTAAATCAGCATTTCGCAGTATACGAATTTGACCGTGCATACGAGCTGCAATTCTTGTAGGACGACTTGCTTATGTGCCATGTGTTTAAAGGCAACTCGCGAGACTACGTCGCACGGCCGAGATGCGCAGCCCATCATCATGAATCACCCAAAGAAAAAGGTACTAAAAGTTATATCCTGTATGTTTACTAAAGTCAAATACTACTCTGATTTCCCCATGTCAAATTATTAGGTGTTTTGATTTTTCTAGATACATACATAATTTAGAATAGAGGGATTAATGCGTAAAGCCCCAGTGTTGTAACTTATGATATGAAATCAACTGCATTCTCTTCTCTTTTTCCTTGCGCGAGTTGTTACATTTTTGTCATGTGTGGTATTTAGCGTTTGGATCCCATTTGTTCTTTGTGCGGTGTTTGGGCTCAGGGTCCTTGACCCCGTACCATTTCCTAAGAACAGTCGTTAAATGTAACCAGTGTGACCCACATTCAGCAGGTAACCTTCAACAGTTTCAATTCTATATTTTCAACAAAGGCAATATATAAGAAATGGCACTAATCTGTTCCTGAAGTGAACAATTAGCCCTGCCATCTTACTGTGAAATTATTTTATTTCATATCCTTATATATAAGATGCCTTACCAGAGTAGCTGTGCGTTATGCCCAATTTAGAGAAGGCGATTCCAGTAAAGGCACATCGCACCTGAAAAGGCACAAATGTCACTGCAACCACTAGCTATCTCTGTCGGGTTGGGAAATGGATTCGGCCACCATTTTTAATTACTCCTACTGGTACACAGTTCTTAGGTTAGCTAGGCTGGGAGGCCAAACGGCCCAACTCTCTTGTCATTTTCATTTCGATGGCTAGCCAATCAATCCCTTTCGAAATTCCATCTCTTCGATATATGGTTGCGCGAGCGCTCCTGTGACGACTCTTCGCATGAGCTTTTATGCTTTGGTTTGAGGAATGCGTTCGTACTCTAGCTTTTAATGTATTGTTTGGCTTGTAAAATGGAAAAAAAAATGAGATTATGTGAGAAAAAATTGGCTGGTAAGTGCACTCCTCATCATATTCAGATGTTGTAAATTTCGGGAACCTTTGGATCGTAGGATAGGAAAAGTATAGAAATAGAAAAAACTCGGGAAATCAGATGACACACTTCTCTAATTCTATGGGAATTAAAAACAAAGGAAAGTGAATGAGATGGCCTTTGGTTGGAGCTCAGGTGAAACAAAGGAACCAGCTGATGCTTCCATTTTTTAAATCTAAAATAAACAACTACACTCGTGAGCATTGAAAGCGGACCGACGTCACCTGGTGGCTGCTCCCATGGCCCAAAACAACCCACGCAGTCCTCATCAGAAGAGACACCAGAGCAAAAAAAAATCAACGCGCGAACCAGCATGGTTGATGCGCGCGCGCCATTTCTTTCGCGCCAGGAAAGTTTTCAAGAGCTCTGATCTCATGCATTTTTTTCTATGGAATTCAGCTATAGCACTCTAATCCTGTGGAATACTTTCTTGGCTTTTCCTATGAAGGAAAGAAAAAATTCGTTAGGAATATGAATCCTACAAAATTCCTTTGCCCATCCTATGATTCAAAGGGGCCTTCACATGATATGATATAGATAGATAAACATAGGTCACAGCCGTCGCCGCTTTGGGCCCTCGCCGGTAGGGCTTTGAAAACCGATCACCAAACCGAATCGAAGTATCAGATAGATCGGTTCTTGGGCTCGGTGTCGATTTTGTATACTGCAAACTTCGGTCGTCGGCCTCGGTATCGGTTTTTATTTACTCCAGGAACCTTTAGTTCATAGTGAACCCATACACTGTAGACACGTCCAGCCACACATGCGCACAAGCAGGCAACAAACTCCCTTGGCCCATAATCCATTCGACCCACTCCAACAGCCCACGATCCTAGCCCGTCATTCCTGCATTGCAGCAGCCTTGCAGCCGCACTCGGTGTTGGTCCATCGTAACAGTATCTCCAGCAACACCCCTAACGGAACCCCTGCTCCCATTTTAGACAGTGAAGACAAAAAAAAAAAAAACCAACTTCAACAGACCCCCTATTATACCCCCAGATTTGTTGGCCTTCTATTTTTCTCCTCCCACCCTCTATTCCTGTTGGCCCCCTACTCCACCCCCCTACTTTTTTTATCACGAGACGCGGTTCTTCCCAGTGATCGCGCCCGCCTGACCTGCTGTGCCCAACCCAACCCAGCCCGAACAGCAGCCGCCTCTCGGCGGCGGTGCCTTCCTGTCGCTGCAAGCCTGCTGGCGGCACGGCCCTTTGACATGACTGCAGTGGCGCGACCTTGCCCCGACGGCCTACGGACGGCGTGGCCAGCCCTGATGGCCTTCCCTGCTGCCCCTCCCCGGCGCAGATGATGCGGCTGCCGGCGGCGCCCCTCTCCGGCGAGGATGCGGCTGCCGATGGCGCCCCTCCCCGCGCGCGGATGCATCTCCCGACAATAGTTACAGCTATAGCTAGAGATAGCTGCGGGGAAAAAGCACAGCTACGAGAAGCAACTTTTAGCTCTATAAGCAACTGAGTTTTAGAATTTATTTGATTTATTAAGATCGATCAAATCAAATTAAATACAAAAAAATAGCTAACTCATTATCATTGGCCGTCTCGTTGCAACGAATTAGCATGCTTGCTAGCATCTTATAGCTATAAAAAAATTACACCCCTTTTGCGATTATAATGAACAATATGTATTTTATTACACTAAAATATCTCTGTAAGGCAAATCCAATCCAAAGGTTGAAAGAAAACCATCCCAACAAAAAACAAAAAAGAAAGCATATACAGTCTCTATGACACAGAATGCCTCGTGATCCGTGACGGCGTTGACTTGGTCTCCTCCAGGTTGAGGGAGCCAGCGGGGCTCTCCGACGTGTCGTCCGACCCGCTGTTCTCCCCGCTGCTGGCCTTGATGGACCATAGCTTCCCCAGCACCCTCCTCGCCGGCGCCGGCGCCACCGCACCGCCCTTGGCGGTCTTCCTGTCGCCGCCGCTCCTCCCGCTCTTGTTGGCCGACAGCTGGCTCACCGACCGGAGCGAGCTGGCGTCGCCGCCGGACGCTGACGTCGTAGGCGCGCCGCCCACGGCGCCGCCGCCCCACTGCTCGTCCTCCGTCGCCGTCGTGGTCGCCGACCTCGAGCTGCCGCCGTACGACGCGCCGTCGTCCCTGGGCATGACGAGTGAGCGTGCTGGGGCAGCGGCAGAGGCCGCCGCCGACTGCCGGATCTGCTCGAAGGAGAGCACCTGCACCACCACGCGCAGGGGCAGCCGCTCGTTCTGCACGGCGTGCGCGCTCGCGTCCGCCGTCAGCTTCCTGCAGTCCATCAGCGCGCACAGCCGCTTCTTCTCGCCCTTCGACATGCCCGGGTGCTCCTGTATGTATGCATGCGTGTGCACAGCAGAGATTCGTCAACACACAATTGTAGAAAGATTTTTGCACATTTTTTTTTCACATATGCTAGAATTCAGTCGCCTGAGATCTCAGGCGATGGGCAAATGCGTTGGCTGCCGTATTTTGCTGTTCAGCTGACGAAAGCAACAAAGAGAAGCATGGCCAGCAACATCGCCTGATCCTTTGCAAAAAAACAGGCACCTGTATAATAGCAATCCCCTTTTTTTTTACCTAATGAAGTTGCAGATTTTGCACATTTTTTACCTACTGAAATTGCAGAAAGATATGATGCAGAACTGCTTGGATGCATACCTTGAGGTAAACGTCGATGGCGCGGTAGAGCGCGTCGTGCACCGGTCGAGACAGGGGAGGCATGGATTCAGCGAGGTCGATGAACTTCTCTAGAGGAAGGCACGGGTCCTTGGCGATCTCAGAGAGAAATCCATCCACCAGCTTTGCGACAGCCGCCAGCTTCGAAGAAGCGATCACGTCGTCAGCAGCTACATCCATGTTGTCATCATCTTCCTTCAGCTTTGCCTGATCACTTCCATTAATTCTGTGCTGCAGCAAGAACTCCTCCAGTATCGCAGCCACCATGTCAACATTGTACATTGCGTCGTCGCCGGATTCAGCAGGCATCAGAAGATCCGAGACCGAAGCTCGATCCAGCTGCGCGCTGATCCTCCTGACCAACTCGCCGCGGTAGGCCTCACCGGACTCCAGCAGGCACGAAGCTCTGAGCAGCTTCAGAAGGAGACCACAAGACACCGATCCCTTCTCCGCCGGCAGCAGCTCGGCGACGGCTTCAAGAGCGGCACGGTGCTTGGTGCAGTCAAGCCTGTTGCTGACGGCATGGTCCAGGGACGCGAACAGCCGGCGGCACGCGTAGGCCCGCAGCGCTTCGCCGACGACGTCGCTGCCCGTCCTCCCCTTGGCCTTCACGGCCAATATGACCTTCCTGTACAGGCACACCTCCAGGTCACAGAGGTCCTCCACCCACCAGTCTCTCGGCACCGCCTGCTGCTTCCTGACGCCGTTCCAGCTGTGCGCGTCGCCGCCGTTCTCCGACGGGAGCTTCCTCCGGTTGTAGGTGTAGGACCAGTCGACCTCCGACGGGTCCATGGACGCCCTGGTGGCGATGGCGTCGATGCAGTGGTTCACCACCTTGAGGTTCTCTGTCCATTGGTGAAGTGACTTCGTGGACTGCAGCACGATGATGGAGTCCTTCCAGGTCCGGAAGATGCTCGCCGACAGGAACACGTCGATCTTGTAGACGAGGTTCCCCTTGTCCACCGTCTCGAACATCTCCAGGTACTCCGCCGCGCACCGGGCGGCCACCACGTTGTAGGCGTTGAGGGTGACCACCATGCCGTAGCAGAACTTAGCGCAGATCTCGAACGCCGCTGGCCCGCCGGGGATGTCGGAGATGTCCACTTCGTCGTTGCTCTCCTCGCTTGTTGACGCCACCAGTGTTTGTAGGCGGGAGCTCTTGGACAAAAGAGGGAACTGAGTGTGTTTTGAATTTTGAAAATCAAGACATCTCTGATCAGTCACAAGTTCAATCACAGCAAAACATCGGTACATGGATCAACCGTCAATGATTCTAATGAAGCATGTGTCAAGAATACCTATGTGTAAAATATTTCTTCCAACAGATTGCAAGAAAAGAAATTACACGCTGAAGGTTTGAATCTTAGTTTTGGTGCGTTAAGACAGAGACCGTAAACATGTTCAAATGGAAGATTAGGCTGGTGGTGTAGTACCTTGTGAAGATAGAACTTGACATCCCCTACAGTGATAACAATATCCGTTGCTAGCTCAGTTGTAACAAACCTGAAAAACATTTAATAAAGAATGAATTCAACATTAGCATCACCTCGAATTAGTTTAACAAATTGAGGAAAGAAAGAATGCGAAAGTAAGAAGTGGCCATCCATTTTAGCCTGAATAAAGTAGCAGTGCTACAGCAAAAAAGGTGAGGAAAGCAATTCCTGACAGTAGCCCCTAGCCCCATCCCCCATGCATGCGCGACAGTCGACAGGCCTAATGTACCTAATGAAACCGCTAAGTGGACCACGGAAAATGATTTGACAAACTGATAGCGCAAAAGGTAAGGACTTGGTTTTTCAAATGGACCACACGGCCTATAATCTAATAGTTGTAACACTAGACAGCCCATGACTACGAGAAAAAGCTAAGGTACACCACACCAGGAGATGAGATTGGCACATGCTCGCAAGTAGGAGGAGTATACTTGTAAAGCTGAAGAACAGATGCCATTGGCAAAGAATCAGAGAGGATGCCTCATTTCCCTGTACTGTACAGGAGATTAGTGTAGATGGAGCCTTTTCAAGTGCCATCATGAGACCCACAGCTTGACAATACAAGTACTCACGTTCAGAAAGATACTCTCTTTCCGGTGCTAATCATAGCCGTGGAAAAACAATGCAAAAGTTCAGTGTGCAAATATATATAGAGCCAACTCAGCTATTAGTAGATCTCAGCTATTAGTAGACATATACACGTCTCTAGAAACTAGCTAGAGAGGTGAAATTGTTCAAACAGATTTATTAACTGACATTTGTTATGCTCTCAGCCTGGGAACACTACACAAATAGCATCATATAAATAGTTAAATACTTGTAAACAGCTTTATCCATGGTCAATTTTGTAGTAAAAAATAAACTCGCAAACTACAAATTTCTACCATCAAAAAACAAGACGTCAGGTGAATCAAACTTACAGTTGGAGAAATTGGAAATTCAGATTAAGGCACTGGAAACTGTAAACAAGAGCAGGTAAGGACAACTTCACCTTATACTGTTCCCCTCTGTCTGAAAGACATCCGGCTTCGATCCAAGCTTCATGTACTTCATCTTGACACGCCAAGAGTAACCTGAATCACCTTCCCCTTTCTATTTTTCTTTACTTTTCTCTTCAGTCCTCACCAGGCAGCAACAAATCAGAACCAAGAACCACCAATGGCCACCAGATGCAGAGATCTAGGCGCTGGTGGCCCCTCGCTCCATGGCCAAGAACCCGCTCTTTGGATCCGCGAAGGATTCAGCTAATCTAGCCAGGCTCACTGTCCAATGCCAGGAATAATCTCATCTCCGAGGGCTCCTGCAGCTTGGATTGGATCGGAGACACCGAGACAGAGCAAGCAGCACCTGCAACTGCAAAGCAAGGGCGGTGAGGGGACAGCGGGAATAATCGCCCAAGAAATGGGCAGCACCATGGGAGCAGGAGCTAGTGAGGCGGGAATTGGAATCCTATCAGATTGCAGTGGAGATAATGGAAATAAATAACTGCAAATTAAAAGCAGTGTTTTTTAGGACGGTCTGCAAACAGTTGCTTCTCTTAAACCGAGAAGCAACTGATTTATAGTCTGAACTTTTGGGAGGAGGGTAACAAAAAATCTTTACTCTGTCTAATTTGAGGGGGGGGGAACAGAGTGTCAAGTTTTTAACAAAGAGAATGCATGCAGGAGAAAGAAACTTGGGGGTGTATCTTCAGAAGAGATCAGGCAGACAACAGCCTTGGGGTTCAGGAAAGCGGGCAATGGCTGTAAAAGCCCGTCAGCCCAACAAAAATACAGCTTTCTCTCAAACAAAATACAGAGACTAAGGATTTATTTGACGAATGCTCGGCACCAAGCTCACATGCTACTCCAGACAAGTCAGGAAAGAGAGTGATAGAACAGATGAGAAAGCACTACTTCAAGAGAAGAACAGCTAGCATACCAGGTTGATCACCTCAGTCAAATTACACAAGCTTCATGGGGAGGGAGAAACGAGACGAAAGCACGCAGTTAGGGAAGCTTACCTACCAGCTCCTTGCCCTCTGGGTTCAGACTGGAGAGGAGGGAGGAACAATCGAACAGACAACTGCTGTGTGCTTCAGCACCTGTCCGTGCGTGTGTGCCTCCGGAACAGACTCTCTCACTGACTGGCTGAGTTGCTTTGCTGCTACTCCAATGCAAAGGAGTGACGATGGAGTTTGTTTAGCTTAAAAGCTGCTGGGGTGGGGTGGGGTGCCTAGGGGCAACCAATTGACTTTTCTGCCCCTCTCTCCCTCTCTCTCTCGTCTGTCATCTCTCTCATACACAGACTGACACACATTTACATTTTCCTGAACTTTATGCATTTTCCACAAGTTTAGTAATAAAATAATAGTATATTTTTTTCTTTATCTTATCCTTTTTGGCCTAAACTTTTCTCTTCGATTCGGCATAGCTTTCAACGTTTTTGGGTTTCTTTGGTGGTGTCAGAATATATATAAATTCAAGCAAGCAAATCTCTGTATTCAGACTATTGTCTGAAGAAAGATACAGATACTACTCTCTGAAGAAGGTAGAGACATATAAGTACGAACCAGCCGGGGGTCCAGAAGCGTTGAAAAACCTGCACGCGGGCAGCATCGATTTTAATTCGGGGGACAAAGCCCATGCCGCGACAGATTAATGCAAAATTTCGTGTCGGGTATGTTCATGATCTCTCGCACTCGAGCGACAGCGAAAGTTAGGACTAGGAGCCGTCGCCAATAATTGAATTCGCACTGCATGAAATGAAATGAGAAGAACAGTTCACGGATAAAGCTATCGGATCGGCCGGCCGTGGATGGTCAGCGAGTGAGTGGCCGGCGGCCGGCCATCATGGTTAGGCCAGTTTGGTGCGTCCATTGCTGACCATGTAGTTCCGCAGGTAAACAGAGCAATTGGATCCGGAGGTTTTGCACTGTCACTGTCTCACTGCAGAGTAATTTAGAGCAGAAGATATTCAGTTTCAGAAGGAGAAAAGAAAAACAAAGAAAGAAAGAGTGAAGTTGAAGAATAGAATCAGTCTGTCAGTCAAACAACCTGGTGTAGTGCTAAAGAAACGCTGCAAGATCATGTTGGATCGTTTCCCCCCTCGCTTTTGACTAAGCTTTGTACTTGTTTATTTACATCTGATGAAGTCGCGGCTTCAAGTCTTCTCCAAGACCGTTTGACAATAAACAAGATTTTTTTTCTTGTTTTCTCTCTCTTTTTTTTTTTTTGGCCTCTTATCCGTTCAATGTCGGCACCTAAGGTTTGTCAATAAATTCAAACGACTGAATCATCTGACAGATATAACCCATATGCAGTTAGTTAATTATGGTGACAGTCGTCACTTTACTGATAAGTAGGGCAGATCCTAATGTACTTCTGAATGAACAGAGAGGGCAATTAACCAAATGAGCATCGGTCCTGTTTGGCACAGCTTTTGCTAATCCGGATTCTCTTATTCAGCTTACTAGTACTAAGCTGCTGCAATGTCTTGCAGTTTGGCCAGGCTTTGTCAATGGAGAAGAAGTAGCACAAGTTGTGCAGAAACAGGGCCAGCAGCATCTTCTGTACTTCATCACTCATCAGGATCACGAACTTGACCCCAGAAAATGCAAGAAAAATAAGGCCATCGGCTCTTCATAATTAGTAATGTGTCATCATATCCATCGTCTCCTAGCTAACGTGTTCCAATGATTGTCCTTGGTCATTTCCTTAACCATAACATTATTGATTGAACTTGTGATCTAATACTCAGGCTATCTCACTTCAGCTTTCTTGGTAGTAGTAGTAGTTGGTCCCCTCTCCAAAATCTAACTGCTTTCCTTTGGTCCCCCTTGCAAATCAAACAATACAGTATGGCTAGTCTCAGAAAATACATACATTATGCATGCGATGCAATAGACAGACAAACAGACAGTTGAGGTGGCAGCGTGGAATTACTAAACAAACCACAAAGCACAACAAGGCTCTTTCTTCTTTACATGTATATAAGTATGCAAAATGCAGCGACTTTCAGTCTGTCACAGAGCATGAACCTTGCTTTGCTTGACGACACATGGTGCTGACTCGGCTTGTGCTCCATCAGGAATCTCTGCATTGTTTTGTGGGCACGCCGTGTACTAGCTAGCTAGCCCATATGTATGCCGTTTCTCTGCAGTTCTTTACACCTGTTCTCTACGGCAAGATTGGAGAAACTTTTTAAAAAATGGTTTGGATTGGAGATGAGCAACGCCTGCATGCACACAGACAGGTGCATGTAGGCCGGTGTAGGTGGTCTAGGATTCTTGCGTCGGCGTCGGCGTCTTGATAGGTTCACAAGTCCCAATGCCCAATATTTTGCCAGCGTGTAATCTTTCAAAACAAAAACAAAAAATTGTCAGCCTCTGCATACATGACACCAGCAGCGGTAGATCTGCAGATCCATCAGCATTATATTCAGTAAAGCATGTGTTTTGCAGAGCTGGCCGGCCGACTGGCATCGCCGATTCGCAATTCGCAGGCAAGCATACACACACTACAGCTGGTGGCTGAAGCCGGCCAACGACCGACCAACCCTGTTTGTTTGAGTTGGTTTGGCTTATAAGTCATGGCTGAAACACTACCGGACTCCTTGAGTTTGCCAAGTACCCGAAACACTCGGCAAAAGACAGAAAACACTCGGCAAATTGTTCGCCGAGTGTAACACTCGGCGAATAGCACTCGCCATAAATAGTACCGGCAAAGCCAACTTTGTCGAGTGCCATTTATCGGGCACTCGGCAAAGTTTTTGCCGTGTGCAGTTTGGCTCTCGGCAAAAAGAAACGGTCATAACGCCAGACCCGCCGTTAACAGCGACTTCGCCGAGTGTCAAACGGCAAGGCACTCGGCAACTAATTTCTTTTTAAATATTTTATGTTTTTAGAATTTCTTGTCGCCGAGTGCTGCTCTCGGTAAATGATAATAATATGCCGAGTGCCGCGCAGGCAGACACCCGGCAAACATTTTTGAAACAGTATTTGGTTTTTTTAAAAATAGCTTTTCGCCGAGTGTGATAATACCTACACTCGGCAAATATGTCTTGGTCATAACACTCGGCAAAGCCTCAGAAATCTGATTTTTTTTTTGTTTTTGCATTACATTTCACAGCGCGCGCGCGCGCGCGCGCGCGCGCACACACACACACACACACACACACACACACATATATATATATATATATATATATATATATATATATATATATATATATATATATATATATATATATATATATATATATATATATATATATATATATTACACAGCACATATATCACATATATATATATATATCATCTCCACACACAACATATCACATACATCACAATAATCCACAATGGTACACAAATATCATATCACAATACCAACATAAGGTTCGAGTTTAAAGTATCCACCACAAGTGCATTACAAGCATAAGTGCAACACAAGAAATAAGTTCAACACATGAAAAGAAGCAAATCACCAATTAGACCACGACGACTGTTGCGGTGGGTCATGAGGTACATCGTTTGATGCCGCCGATTGACCCTGCACAAAGAATAGATAAGATTACTTGATAGCTACAAAAGGAATTGTTGAGACATATATAGCTAGTAGTATTGCAATTCAAAAGGCAATACAACAAATACAACTGTGTGTGTGAGTGTGTGTGTGCGCTGGTGTGTGTGTGAGTGAGTGTGTGTGCTGGTGTGTGTGAGTGTGAGTGTGTGCTGGTGTGTCTGTGTGTGTGAGTGAGTGTGTGTGCTGGTGTGTGTGTGTGTGTGTGTGTGAGTGTGTGTGTGTGCTGGTGTGCGTGTGTGAGTGAGTGGACATGGGGATAGATGTACTCACAGGAGTGTCTTCAGGAGGACGAGGAGGAAGGAATAGCGCTTGTGGCAGAGGTTCACCCATCTTCGCGCCGAGATTTTGCATCCACTGAAACATCTGCTCCTGCCTATGCCGATCAGCGTCAATCTTAGCCTCCAACGCTATTCTCCTCCCTCTCTCTTCTTCTAGCTCGGCCTACAAAATTTCACCCCAATGTTACAATGGAAATCAAAGGTGCGTAAGAAACAATGAACGACGAATAAAGAGTAATAACACGCAAAGTCTGCATGGCGTCTTTGTGTCTTGGGTCGGCCGTGGGCGTATGGGCGCGACCTCGGCCCGTGTCGCTTGCTCGGATCTGGGAGAGAGTGGGAGTAGTGGTCGGTGTCGACGGCATTGCCGCCAAGCCGATTACTGCCATGCTTCTTGCCTCCTCCCACCCTCATGACAAGGTCTCCTTCGAAATCCTGGGTGCTCGGATCGTACTCCGGCCCATGGACCACCTTGGCCGCCGTTGTGTACTCGGTGAGACGGCTGTGGATGGAGGGATTGCTGTACGCCGAGGGGGGGGGGGTCCTCCGGGTTGAAGTCGACATTAAGAATCAATT